ATATTTCAGGAACATCACAGTGGAATCTGTCATGGTTAGGTTACGTTCAGAGAAAAAAAGTCCCAACCTCTTTGTTTTGCTGACAGAGGGATTACATTTCCATATATTACAGCTCCAAGGAAAACTTTCTAAATGCAACCCTATCTTCATCAAGGGTGTCTGAACATAGATGCATGTTCTTAGTTAGGGTGTGAATTCACAGGACACTTGCTACTCTGCATTAATTCCCATATGAATTCACTTAAGACTGCAGTTGCATGAATACTTTCAAGTACCCTAAGACAGTGGTAGCACCAAAAAAAGTTTTCTTCTTACTGTCCCTGTGTTACAAATATTTGTGCAGGGCTGCTGTGAGCTGGATCAAGGAATTAAACTGAGTTAATATGAACCACTTCTTTTATTAGATCAGTTTCAAATCTGGGATGAATTCCTCAGCCTGAGCCACTTGATGACCATACACATTCTTTTGCTAGTACAAGGGAGAAGGATGTACCAAGATGTGTTCTTTAGACACATCTATAATGACTTGAGCAGTAAAGCATTAAGAATTCCTGTGCAAAGTCATGTGCTCCTTTCAGAAGGTGGAGGGAACCGCTTTACACCTAAGTGTCCATAGAAGGAAACTGGTGCACAGCAGCCAGTATGTTGAAAAATTCACACTTTTGCTTACTGCACACAAACTTTTTCATACAGAAAAAGCCCTGCAGTTGCATAGAGGCAAACAACAGTTGTAGGACTATAAACTGCTTTCTTCAGCCTATTGGGAAATTAATTGAATGTGTGTAAACATGTATGAGCTGGTGGGTTCATGAAAGAACGTTTTTGTCTGATTATGTACCACTGTGATATTTCATCTCAGTAGTACCCTCTTACAAGTATTCCTGAATTGACATATTTTATTATCCTAAAACATAACATGTGGGTTGGACAGAAACAGAAGTAATCTTCCTTTTCTTAGATTTTACTACCTTAACGTAGAGATCCTCACGCCTTCTTCTTACTAGCCTGTGGTACAAAAGCTCCTGAACTGGGTTAAAGCTTGGTTTGCTCTCTATATGGCAGCATTAAAGCAGCAGCCATAGCAATGAAAATAACCTCTGCTTTTGAACCAGCCAGCATGCCTGCCTACAGTAATTGTTAAAAAACATGCTTGGCTATGTTTTGCTCAAGCCAGACAAGAAAAGTTTCCTTCCTTTGAACCATGGCTTATGATTGCCCCTCTCCGTGTTTTGTGCTTTTCATACAGCACAATCATTCTGCTCTTACCATCCAAACCCAATTCATCTGGCAGGTGCTTCTACTATAAGCAAGTATTCCCACTTCCAGTATGAGAAATACAATTTTGATCATGAAGACTCATTCCTAGGTTACCAGGTATTTGCATTTACATTATAGGGACCATACATCAGCCCCAATTTCCACACAACTCCTGTAGACACCTGTACGAATACCACAGTGAGTAATAGGTAGAATATGATCCTAGAATGGTGTTTTTATAAATGCAGGAGAGAAAATAGCAATAAAGATCCCTCAACCTGCCCCTATCCAGCTCTTCTGCTAATATTAGCAGTTTAGATCAAGATTAAATTCCAATTATAGCTCACTAAATAACCCACTAATAAAGTAACTGATCTAAGACAGCCAATTGTGAAATATATATGAAGAACTTCTGCTGCAAACATGTAAAACATGGTATGCAATAGTCTAGCCTCTGGTTTTACAGATGATTTTCTGCAAAGGCTTAAAAGCAGCTCACAGTTCAAGAAACAAGAGATTCAGGAGATACAATCTTACTGAGGCTGGATCATCTTCAGTATATTCACAGACAGCCAGGTCCATATACAGGAGGGACATTGTATCTGCTGACATAATCCCATGATAAGTAAATGGGTAAAATTACTCTAGTGCAGTCTATTGATGTTCCTTGTAAAAGACTTAACAGCATTTGTTGCAATGCTGCCATGTGAAATCATAAGATGACAGACTCAAAATACAGATCTTACTGAAACCAATGTTAATTTTATTTACCAACAATCAACATTATAATATTATGCAATTTGGACATGCTTTTTTCCCCCCAAAGGGGTTTCCTTCCTGTCAGTTGCAATTCAGTTCTCCAATTGCTATTGCTGCTTCTGCTCCTTTTAGTGACTTGACGCTGTCATTTTATTCCATGTTCAAGGCTGTTGTCTCACTGCCATATATTCAAAATTCCTAATATTCATGCATGGATCAGCGGATTATCTAAAGTAGCCTGGATAATAGCTCTTGGTAGGATCATTTATGAATATGAAAGGACAAAAGAACTAATACAGGGGAAACCTGGCATTAGCACATAGGAAGTTCATGGGAGGATCTTGATGTATGCATCCCACAGGGAAAGAAATAACACTGATCTCAGAAAAAATCATTGGAATAATACTCTTTATTCAAAACCAAACAAAAATATCACAACACTCTTACAAAAACAAACAAACAAACAAAAACCCCAACAAACAAACCCCGAAAAACTTCATCTTCCTGCATGTCCTACACATAACACAATTTTTCTCATGCGCTTCCTGCATCCCCAACATCCTTCCTCACTGATTAGCAGAGAGTTTAGGATTGTGGGTAATTAATACCTTATGGCTGTAAAGAAAGCTGCTGTGAAGTTGGTGAAGCTGCTAGACAGGCTAACAAACAGGATAGAGGGGGGTTCTTATCTCTATCTCTATTTCCCTCCATCAATAAAAACCAGACACTATTAGCACAATGCACCAGAGTGGGTTTTCCTGGGCTATCAAGAGGAAGTCCATACTATTCCGTATTATGTGAAGCAATACTGGGCAACCAAAGAGAAATTGGCACTGGTACGAACTACGACCATAAGTCATCATGTGCCCTGACATCAGCAATTTTAATTTAAACTGTCTCTGATGAGAGCAACAGCCTGAGTCAGCCTGCCAGCACATAAAGAGGAGCAGCTGTAGACTTGGAGACAATGCATCTGCAAGATCAGGAGTGAAGCAATACTTCTCATGATCCAAGTTATTGAACAAGCCAACAAGGTGCTTTTGCATAAGTGGAGCAGTCCACAAGTGTACTAATTGTGTTATTTTAGGGTTATTTTTAATTAAGAAGATCATATAATGTTAAAATAACTCTACAGGTATATTTTGGTTCAGTATTTTGCAAGCCCACCACAAGACTACTCTTCCAGTTTATCAGTCTCTTGGATTATACTTCATAATTTTTCTTCCTCTGATCTGGAATACTAAAATTCCTAACAGAAGGTAGCATTAAATCCAGAAGCTGGATAATCTCTGCCATAAATAAGCAACCTACCAGTTGCATATGTTACCTAAAACTGGTTTGAGATGGGAAATTCCAGAAATGTTTTTGTAACAATGACTACTTCTTGATGGGAGGAAGGAAGCTAAGCTGGATCATGATGGAACATAGAATGCCAGAGGGCACTCCAGGAAGAGCATCAAAACCAGCCCAGATGACTTATATGTTTCCATTAATCTCAAGTAAACATTGTTTTAGAATTAAGGAGCCTAAAACATGGATAAAAAAAGAATTCACAAGTATGATTTGATCTCTAAAATGGATTAAAAATTTTTTGGTATTAACAAGCATTTTGCTTAACTGCCTCTATTAAAACCAAACCAAGTGACTCTAACAGAAGACCCAGTGCATGGACAGTTCCTGCAGAGGATGGCATGGCAGTTTAGCAGAGTGATGGGGCAGGACTGGACAACCCTGGTCTGCAAGACTCCAGGTAAATTGCTGTCTAGTACTATGTGCACCTGTTCTGTTCTGTGTAAAGAATATACATGGTTTATATTGACTAAGTCCAAAATCACTAAAGGGAGGACTGGAAACTGCCAGATGTTAATAGATCAGAACAGGGAAACCTTTAGAAAGGAGCCTCTATTTAGAGGATGGATGTTACCTAACAATGGACAAAAGCAAACACTTTGTGACATTTAATTTACTGATATACAACCAAACTGACAAGCTGAAAGACTCTGGTGGAAGATCCACAATTCCACATTTATGTCAAAATTGCTTAGTCAGCCTTAAGAGACCGAAGTTTCTGCCAAGTAACTAACCAACAAGTAGACATAAAACAATACTTGTAATTGAGCACTGATACTTTATGATCTTGGTTTCTTATTTTTATTTTATTATTAGGCATTGCAGTAGTGCCTAAAAGATCCTGTAATGGAGCAGGGGCCATGTACCATGGCAGGGACCATACAGAACAATAAAAGACATAGCCCATAACATAAAGATCTAAAAATATATTTGGTTGATCTTCACTTCTTGAAGTTTTCATGTTTTGTTAAATTCATTGCTCAAACCTTTGTAACCCTGATCTGTAATTTTTATTTCGTTTTATGCAATTGACTTTTTATTTAGCTGGGATTCATGTATACTATTCCAAAAACATCTAAAAATCTGTCTTGATTAGGCAAGATAGATGTTGAACTGTTACTTGACTGCTTTGTCAAGTCAACTTTGTATGCACAGTATTTTGCAGACAGAAGCAATTTTATTTCACTCAGGATCTAAGCCAGCTTAAAGCAAGTCAGCTCCGGTGATACTTACACTGAGCCTATGCTACAAATTCTGGAGAAGAAAAAAACCAAAGACAACCCAAAAAAGCACACTCATCTACAGAAAGTGTGTTTCTGTTGACCCTTGATTATCAGATGGGTACAGCAAGGTTTGCAAAGCACTGGGACAAATCTTGGAAAAAAATGAAGTACACAACTAGCGTTTCAATGATTTGTCATCTTTCACCTGATTACTTACAACAGGATATTCAATATCCATTTCCTTCCATCCAACCTCAAGTTTTAGATAAATTTTCCTTTTCTTATCATTACAGTAAAGAGAGAGACAAGTCATAGCTGCAGCAATCCTAACCTGGTTTGTTATATAACATTTCCAGAGTCTTGTGTCATATAAGCCTTCCCTTCACATTCATATAATTTTAAACTACCTACCTTCTGCATTAAGATGCATGGTCTCCAGAGGTCCAATAAATGCATATCGCATTCCCAATCCATCAGACATTACAAGGTCTAGATCAGTAGGAGATATTAGTCCTTCCTAAGTAGCAAAAGTAGAACAGGAAGGAAGATTTGTGAATGTTTGGTTTTAATGCAAAATTGCCTGCTCCTTGTATATAATTAAAAAATTAAAGTAGTTATAAAATCTAAGGCTAGAAACAGCAGTTAGCTTGCAAACAGAAACACAACTGTTTGCCAGAAATGTCCGTCTATTATGCAAGCCTTCCTATGGTTCAGTATAAACACTCATTCACATCTCTAGGATTGCTGTACTTCATAATCCAAATACACATTGATACACTTTGACAGTACCTTATTTTTAAATTTTTAGATTAAAACACTTTTTCATACAATATGTACTATTTGTACACCCTAATTTGCCTGATACTTACTACTTACAATAAGTCATGTAATAAAACTAAATCAAGCTGTCTATGTTAACAAACATACTTTTATCTCAGAAACTGAGAATCAGAGAACACAGAGCAAACGTGACACTCTTAATAGCACATGACCAAAAGAGTTTATACCAAGTCAAAGTACTATACCAGCCCTTTTAACACCTCCCTTCACATTCTCTTAATTTTGGATTTTGGGGCAGTCACAACTGGCAGAACAGGGGCACAGCAGTGGGTACTGCTCCTGAGGCCACCTGAGAACAAGGCTGGGACTAAACATGCAGGCAATGCAGCTGCCGCTCCCTTCCACAAAACCCATTGCACATCAACCTACCCAGCCTCAACCTGCCCAGGTTCTCGAGTCATTGCCAGCCTCACATCTCAGAGCTGGCAGGATACGGAGCATGCAAAATGAAGCATTTCTCCTGTTAAAAGTTGGGCACTGCTGTTCCACCCACATGCTGTCATTTACCAGAAAGCCAACGCCCCCATCAGGTTAGGGCAAGCACATGAAGGCTTGTAAAAAAAATGAGTTACAGTTCATTAGCTTAACAGATTTAGTTGAGAAGAATAATATTTATCATATGAGGTTGTTTTCCACCTACCAGAAAGATATGAATGAACTAAGACCTGTTCTAACCAATTCCATCAGATAAAGCTTGGTTTCAGGAACTTGTCGTCTTTATTCCCAGAGACATAAAAACATTTTCTTCTGGTTAAAAAGGTGGAAGAGATGCTGAACTGCTTCTCATTTGTCTTCTCACCCTACCTTGAAGTGCTCTCCCCTCCTCAGTGCCTCTTTCTCCACAAGTCCCTTTGAGCTGCAGAATACAAGTAGGTATACTCATCTGCTTGGCCAAAGGCAGGTCTTTTTCTGTTAACTTTCCCTCTCACAGGGCCCTGTCTGAATGCTCCTTCATATCACAGTGATCAGCCAGAGTTGCAGACCTGCAGGACAGCTCTCCTGACTTCTTGTAGACATTGACATCTGAGCTAGACATTTAGACTCTATAATCACTAGGGAGGAAAAAGAAATCAGTGTCCTAAAGCAGGTATCTAGAATAGATGAGTTGTGTCCTAAAAGGGCCTAGTTCTCCTCACTGACTGAAAGATGACTAAGGACCTTGGATGTCAGTATTTACATTGTAGAAATCCCATCTTAAGCAAGTGGAATCCCACCCACAGTGTCTTCCCTGTGTTCATCAACTATATCATCTGCTGTTACTTAAAAAGAAAACGATAAGCCAAGGACCAACATAACTTCTACAGCTTGCCACAGACATCAAGTTTCATTATCTCAGACTTAAATAGAGCCTTTTATAAGACTCAACCTCAAGTCTCAATCTGTTGGTAGGCACTGCTCCTACCAAAACCAAGCCTGGCTGAATCCCTGTTGCAGGTGGCTTTTGAACTCTATCTTAAAAAGGAAATGATAATGTAATTACTAAGATCTACCCACCATACATGGTACACACAGCTCTGGTAACAATTTAATTAGACATAAAATGGCAGGGATAAGGAAGCATTATTTTCTTCAATTTAAAGGTAAGGCATAGGTATGGGTAAAGCATCTCGAGGCAGACAAGAAGGTCTGCATAAAGACAGGACTAATGCAAACCTCAGACAGCATTCAGATTACAGACCAGCATCAGTGTAACTAACACAGCCACCGTACGTTCTCTGACAGTTTTTTCCCCTGACATGGCAACACAACTTCTCTGAACGACATCAGCAAAGTCAACAAAAGCACTCTTCCGTTGGGAGTGCTTCAGCCAAACAATGAGTTATGCTGGTAAAGCTGTGCTTGATGAGTGATTTTTTTTTTCCCCTGGTTGACATGGATTTGTGGACAAAAGATTAACCACAAGTTCCAGACATGCATTTGAAACACAGCAGCAGTTAAAAACTGTAAAGATAACATTAAAGAGTTAACAGGCTCTTGAAACACTTCAGAATCATTGCAAATTAATTTTCAAATTAAAAACTGATTTACTTCTTTTGATACTGTAGTCCTCAGCTTTGGTACTGACATTTGAAGACCAGGTACCTTCAGAATCATGAGATGGAGTGCTTTGCTCTTGGCCTTTTGACTATAGCTTTTGACTTTAGCAGCTGCTAAAAGGCAAAAATTGCTGCAACCAGAAGGAAAACATGACAGATCCCTCCATTTGAGGAATATATTATTCTATACATGTGAGCTCCGTTTCTCCTTGTCACATAGACCCTCTTAAAGAAAAGTGTTTTACTTTTTCTCTTCAGAAATGAAAAACGTGTAAGTGAGAAACAAGTTAGACCATCCTCCCCTAGGGAATAACCCTACTCCCACTTTGTTAAGATCATAAATTGGTGGAATGATTCAGCAGGATGGGTGCAAGGTCAGCAAGGTATCTTCCACAAGGATCTGTGTTTATGCTAAGAAGTAAACAAGAAAGAGTTCCAACCCAGTTTCATTAAGTCTAGGTGTGAAACAATCTTCCCAAGAGGATTTTTCATCCTCTTCATCCTGGGTAACCCTTCTTGCAAGCCTTCCCCTCGAGCACTTGTCAGAGGGAAGAGAAAGTGTGTTAGAGTTCACCAGAAGCTTTCACAGCTACAAAATTAAGATCTTAATTTAAAATAAATTCCACCAAAATCCTCAGTGACCCCAAGGGCCAGTCAAACTTCAAGATCTAAACTAGTTCAGGATCCTCCACACTTCTTATGACACTATTTATATACCACAATCTCATCTTCCTGGAGATTTTAATCTCCTGTAATGCCACAGTATTGTCCTAATGCTCCTTTGGTATTTTATTAGTGCTTCTCACTATGCAGGGACGCTTTTCTCCTTTCCAAAAACCTGTGGTGGTTCTGCAGTCTCCACCTTTAGGCCCTGACCCAACCTCCCTGGTTTTAATCAACAGTCTTTACATCTGTGAGTCACACCCACATCGCAACTTCTGTCACTGACTTGGTTTGTAATCATATTAAATGTGACATGGCCAAAAAAAAAAAAAAAAAAATCTTACTTTTTCTGATACTACCAATTCATCATGTTCTCCTACTCACTCCAGTCTGTCTATAGAGTTATTTTGGACTCCACTCCCTCCTGGACCACATACTTTCTTGTCTCCAAATTTGCCACTTCACCCTTTATCTCCCAAATACAGTATTTTTTTTTTTTCTGATTGCCACTAATATATGCGTTCTCTCCCAGCAGCACTTGTTACACCCTTCTCTTCACTATCACTTTACTCAAATCACTTCGATCCACACCCTGATGAGATCTTACTCCAGTCCTCTCATTTTGAGCATATGACTTTTCTCCTAGATCCCTCTACCAGCTCCATCTCTTTCCATTTCATCATGTTTGAGAAACTTGTTGTCCCATACAATTCACACCTCCTTACTTTGCTGGCTTTTGTCTTCCTTCTTCTATGGCACCCTCACTCACCTCACCCTGTAAGAAACACTTTGTATCAACACTATTTTTATCCCTGGCCCTTATAAACTTCCTTTTATGATATCCCCCTTTTATGGGGCACTGTAACTAGATGTTTAACCTTTTACCTTATCTTTGATCTTTTGGAAAGGTCCTCTGGATAACGCTATAATATAATTAATAATAAGGCATTCAGAATTAAAAAAGTCTTGCCAGCATTTAAAGACTGCCAAGCTAGTCACCTGAGAAGGGAGAGGTACATATATTAGGGACTGAAGCCAATGCACCCGATTGCTGTGAAAATGAAATAAAACGGACACACAGCCAAACCATGACTTTATTTTCCAGAAGACTAACAAAAATGGCAGGGCTGCCCATTCTTCTTGTCTTTTACAATGAGTATAAACTAAAAGAAAAACCACTTTTAAAGAAAAAATATATTAAGACACTACCAAAAGCTTATACAGAGGAAAATACAGACTCTAAAGACACTTATCATATGATCCATCATGCAAAATAGTCCTAGCAGGTTCTTAAAAGCAGCTGAAACTCCTAAATTAGATCAGGGCTGAAAAACCGCCATGTTCTCCTCCCTATCAGTGTTACTGTATTTCACGACCTCCTTGCAAATTCGAGCTGATGCTTAGAAAAATATTTCACCAAGAAAAGCTTCCACTCAGTAATCCACAGTAAAAGGACAGTCCTAGATGTTCAGAGCAAGGTTTGAGACTTCTGATCTAAAGCATTGGTGAAACTGTTTGGTTTTTATTTTCTGGATGAAGTCAACCAAAACTTTACCTTCAGAACCAGATAAAGTCAAGCTATTTAACTAGCACTCTTTTGCAACATAATCCCAAGCTACTATAGAATGCATTGGTACTGGTAAAAGTACGAAAGTAATAGTGTCAGCAGTGCACAAGGTGCTTCCCAGGCAAATAGCGGCAATAAGTCTCTGCTCCAAGGAGTTATGAACAAAATCAGATATATCAGTGATCACTGTCAATGGGTGCATGAGAAAGTAAATAAATGGTAACAGGGAATAACAGAGAAAGCCGTCTTGAGATATTTTTCCTATTACTGGCTACAGATTATTCTAATAGTTCCAAACTTATAATATAAAAATTTAGGGTTGAGAAGAGAGGAATAAGGATCTTCAACCTCAACATCTCTCAGTACATCTTTTACTGTCATCATAATCAGCTTTGCAACACTTCTACCAGAGACCTAAGAATTAAAAACATAAATAAGAAACCTACAAGAATGTCAAATCTCACATGCTATGTGGTCTTACAGAAAGTTCTCAGATACACGACCTTACAGAGACAGACTGGAGTGTTCCCACTATCTGCGTTTTCACGGAATAAATTGTGGAGCATGGGAAGACACAGATAACTGACACAAAAAGTTCCTGCCACAAACACCTGCACTGCCCAAGTGCTCGTGACTTGCAAGTCAAAACAATGTGCAAAAAGACATCTTGCCACACAAAAGACTAACTTGGATCCAAAATGAAACATCTCATTGTAGCACTCTTGCCTCAAAGGGGAACACTTGCTTGAATTCCTTCTTTTAGGCCCATGAATGAATCTATGCTCTTTGCTTCTAAGTTCTTGTAAAGTCAAACTTCTGCATCCTTAAATCCATGTTCTTAATTAACCGCATGGCCAAAGTTCTCAGCACCCAACTCTGTGTCTCTAAATGAGTTTTCATTCTCCTACTTGCCTACAAATTGGGATCTCAACCTTCAGGCCTCCTAATTTTTCAACACCTTAACTCCATCCTTCCCACTACCACATTCGGCCCAGTTCTGCATTCACAGCACTTGTTTTGTTCCCAGCTTCAAAATCCCAGCCACCCCATGTATGCTCCTGAGGACCCCAGCACCTTTGGCAAAAACAAACTGTATCCTAATATCTCGGTTTCTTGTTGTTACTTTCATCACTTTGCCCTGAATTATGCCTCTCTCTCTGCTCCAGCATCCACGCCCACATGCAATTTGAGCATCATAGGGAGTCCGAGCCTGAACCCAACCTGCCAGCGGGGCCTTACCTCAGATTTCTGTCTGTGTTACAGCCTCTCATACTCTTGGACCGACATGACAAAAGTTGGTGAGCCCCACGCATCATCCAGCAAGCAGCTATATTTACCACATTGTTTTCTATACAGCTGCATGTTCATGCTCTGTATCAGACCCCTTCTCCCATTGCATGATCCCTGCCCCATGCCTCACCCACCACACATCCCAACACAGCACTGCTAAGGAAAAGAGAGGGACTGGCAGGTCATCAGTTGCCAAGCTACATTTGGGAACTAAAATGTATCCTGCAAGCCACTCAGTCCATTTGTGATAAAGTTTTCCAGATGAATGTTAGTACAGCTATACCTCCATGTCTGTCCTGCCACCAATGCCTTTTTTAACAGTACATAAGTACTTCTACTGGAGAAGCTTCTGCTCATGTCTTGAATGAAGTAAGCTCAACTGACCAAAAAAACCCAAACCCAAACCCTAAAAAAAACCACAAAAACCAAAACAACAACAAAGACTGTTTTGGTCCATGCAAAGGTGTCCAAATTTGGACTATGATACAAGCATATGTGCACATGCGTGCATGTTTAAGATCACTCCCCTGCCATTACTATAAATATTTTTGAGGGGAGGATGCAGATGAGAAGCTTTTGAGCTCATATCTCAGCAAAGTCCTCAAAAAAAACAGATAGTTGTTTACATAAAGGGGCTGATTTAAGATCATTTCAAGTGGCTTCAAAACACTTGGAGACTGCTGCTATGTTTCTCTCCTGGTTCATACATAGCATTTATATCTGGAATATTTATGTTCTTGTTATGTGGCAAAGAACTGATACACTGCAGTGCAAATACAACAGTCCTCCAGAAACAACAGAGATTTTTCTCTAGCACTCACCATGTTAAAATTAAAGAAAACTTTTAACAGAAATAGGAGCACCGATCCGTATATGACATGTAACTGTAGGCATCCATAGATACTTGTTCAGACCTTTACAACCACTAATAAAAGAAGTAAGCTTGAAATTACATTTTATCATTCTGCCTCATTGTTCTTTTACACTAGTCAAAAGCAATATACAATTATTAGCATCAAAATACCACAGTGTTCGTAAGTAATTTCGTAAGAATGCCTGTGCTCTGCATCCAAGCTGACTTGGATTGCCTCATCCAATATGCACAATTTACATATCTAATCACAAAAGGATTAATAGCATGGTCATTTTGGACAAGAATGCTTTATTAATATGTCCCTCCTGCTAATATTTGTAGTTTATCTTCCACCCCCAGTTCTTCTTAGGGTAATGAAAACTTTTGTTATCAGAGGGAATCAATGTGAGTAAAACTTGATTTTCAGGAGCCTCTCAAGGACTGTGAGGTGGGGAGCCTGAAGTTTTCAGTATTTTAACCCTCTGAAAAGTGACTTAATCAGAAGCAAGAAGTATTTTTCCCCACTTTGAAAGTGGAAAACACCAAAAGAACATGACTTGCAATAAAAATTACAGAGTTGGCAGCACAACAGTAGAAACACAGAAACTGGCTCAGGCCTGCAGTGATTCTCCTCCCATCAAAGGCAGTGTGTAGCCTGAAGTCACACAGCTGAAACTATACACCTTTGATAGCTGCTATTTGTCCAGGCTTTTGGAATGGAAACACAGCCAAAGTTGTTACAGTTTAAATGCATATTTGCCTGAAAATCAATAAAATTATACAAAAACAGAACAACTTGGAAACTTTGATGATGCACAACAAAAGCAACTTTCATTATCTGTCACTACTTCAAGCACTATTTTGTAACTATTCACATACCACCACCCACACAAAACCATCCATACAGGTTCATACTAAAGGTTCACCTCAGATCAATACCTCTTTTCCAATAGTAGTCCATGAAGTATTGTTACACTCTTTCCATAACTGAAGACCAGAGAGTGATACTTTCAATGGTATGTACTGTCTCAGCTCCCAGCAGTCCAGTCTTTGAGACTTCAACAGCTGGAGGTTGCTTTCTGCATGGTTTTCCTCTAACAAGAATGTGTCTAAATGTTCCCTGAACCCATTCATATTTAGCATCCTAGGTTTCTATAGGAGTGGCTTCCACAATTCAGTTTATGCCTCTCAGAGACATGAAAGAAACCTACTAGATTTTGGAGGCATTACTTCCCTGGATACCTGTGCTGACCAAGGGTATTGTATCAATATGCCTACACATTATCAGGCTTATGGGTTCAGTTTCCCAATGACTCTTTTAACTCTTTTAAAAGACTAAAGGTGTAAGTGCCAACTTCCATTTCTGCAGTATTATGCTAGTTGCTGTGTAAAAAGGTGCTTATGTCAGTATTTCATCAACTTCATATTTAAGTTTTGGGATTCTCAGGTAAGTTCCATTTCTCCTTCACAGTCTGCCATTACTCATTTACTCTTTCCTCCTCCAAAAATCTTGTTCTTAGCATGACTTGTTCTACTGCTACATCAGATCCCTTCCTTTCAAGGAAAGGTTACAGTGTGGGAATCTCCTTAACAGTGAACATTGCAGTTCAGCTAGCTTTTCCCCTGTGAACTTACCTTCCTTGTTTGCATTTTTTAGCAGTTGTTTTTACATTTTTATTCTCAAAAATCCTTTTTTTCCCCAGTGTTATTACGGTTTCAAAAATAATTTGGAGGTTACTATCCTCTCTATGCTGTGTCTTTCAAAATGACTACAGTTTTCTGAAGGGTTTTTTCTTATCATATACTTAAGAGTTTGTATTAACTTATTTAATAACAGAAACCTTTTCTTTAATTTAAAGAGACATCTCCAGCAGAATATCAGTTCCTTCCTAACAACACTGTTCTAATTATTGTTATTATTCACCACCTCCTTTATATTGTTGTATTGTGTTGCTAGGGGAAGCTAACTACAGGTAAGCAAAATCAGTTCAGCAACTATGTTTAGATACTGCTTTGGAAAAAGAGTTGCTTTGTTTACGATATGTTAGTATTACCTTAGTTTTAAGATCTTTACTTATATTTGTGTGCATGGTTGTTTTAAACAGCTTGGAAAATCAAAACACTCTCCACGACAAAAAAGTAAGCCCTGCTCAAGCCCAGCTGAATCTCTTCTCAACAGAATAGCAACAGACTCATAATTCAGCTCTTCCTGATGAAAGATCAGACTCTGCAGCAGAGAACAGGTAACTGGGAAAAGCTGAAGGGGCACAAACAAATGATTCTCAGCCAGAAGTCTGAATGGGCAGGAGGAGGAGAAATCTGTCTTTACCTACAAGTATCAAATAACTGTTGAACCTATGAGTGCAATTCCTGAAAGGCCAAAGAGAAAACCATTTAAAATATTATTTTCATAACCACTGTACAGTAGGCCAGCAACATTCAGAAAATAACGAGACAACCTAGAAAAAAGAAAAACCAGTATTCTGATTTCTGTGCTTTTAAGATTGTTCTTTTGATTGTCACAAAAATGACAGTATTCTGAAAAGACAGCAGGATAAAGGATAGTTGTTATGATCGTATCATATTGGTTTTGTCAGTCTTTGCTATTTATAACTGACATAACTTCTTACTGTTTTTAATTTACATGTTAATATATAGTTCATGTTCATAAGGGACAGTTTAACAAAGATGACACAAATTTATAGGAAATTTAAAAATACAATCTCGCTTGTCACATCTACAAAACTGGCAGTGTGTGTGTGTAAAATTGGAAAAAAAAAAAAAGATATACATACACCCACAAGTCTCCAGGCTTCACTTATCACTGCATACTGGAGCCGATTCAGAACAAACCCCTCAATTTCTCTGTTTAGTTTGACAGGAGATTGACCAATGGTCTTCATCAGAGCATATGTTCTCTCTGTAGTAGAAGGATCTGTTTCTGGATGAGGAACAATTTCAACCAACGGCACAAAGTAAGGTGGATTTACCTCAAGAAGAAAGACAAAAGAAGAATGTCAACTACCAACAGATTAACAGTACAAGTTTATATAAAGCGTCTTTATAGCTTGCTACTAGTGTGGATATTTTCCAGTGAACGCAGCAAGACTGATCTTTAGACCCTGAAATACTTCACCAATCCAATAAAAGCTGGTGTATTAATGCAAATTAAAAAAATAATTAATGTTGCATTTAAATCTATCTCTCCTTAACCCCAGCAAAGTCCATGGAGCTACACTAAAGATGATAGCACTCAAACAGTACTAGTGAAGACTTCATACTGACTTGAGTAACTGATATTTTCTCAATATTCAGGCTGTTTGTTATTGTAAGACACATGGTCACCACCTGTCTTTCCAAATGAAACAAGGCATTTCCTTTTAGATATTCAGGAACTTTATAACAAAATTATTGCTAAACACCACCTGTAAGATGGAACACTTAACATATAAGCTACTACTGGCCCAAGCCTGTAAATATATGTAAAACACAGTAACCAGATACCACATAAAACACACTTTGAAAAAGTTGCAGAACAGGTTACCTTCAAACACTGTACCTACTTTAAAAATAAAGGAATTACCTCTCCCTGACTCTTCCTAAATATAATTTCTCATCAAGTCAAGACCTTTGTGTAATGTATTTTTTAAGTAATAAACAAAAAATTCTGAAGAACATGGAGAAACAGCTAAAAGTTCTTCAGGTCATACTGCCTGCATGCTCTTTCCAGAAGCAGCAGTCCTTCAGCCATATTCTTAACGTGTTAAACTCAGCTCTTGGTCTAGTTTCCAGGCAATAGAAGGAGCTAACATGTCATAAACTACTACCAGAAATAACATTGACATTTAAAGGATGGTAATTAAGTACTGATTCTTTCACCATGCTCCCTTACCGTCAACTGCTCTTAACTGTGCTCAGGTAAATGCAAGGACAGGATTTAGTCACAGCAACATGCAAGCAGTCTTTCCTCTCTGCATGTTCTTTCTTTTCAGTACTTACATCTGCTCTAACTACTGATGTAACACACTTCATTCTCTTTGAAGTACCTTGTGTTCCAACATAAACTTTCTCACATTAGTCTCTTTGGCAGTGCCACCACCAACACTGAGAATAGCATGATGGACACCATCAGAGCTGTGGTACCAGGCAAATTAGCAAGACACAAAACACTGCAAGCACCAAGTTCTCTGAAGGCTTTTCTAACCCTTAAGTACATCACAGGTTCCAATCAGGAAGAGGACAAGTTAATTGTTGATAGAGACTGAGGCTATTATAAATTTCTTCCAAGATCAGTGTTGACAGTCATTTTATTGAAATATTCTATTTCATTAACTTGGCATGGGGAGTATATGGGTGTGTTCACGAGCACACTGAGAAGACTTAGGAAGATAATTTTTTACGAGTGACATATTAGATGTTGGCAAAAGCCAGAAGTGGTAAAACATGGATGAAACTGGGGATGGGGGAAGGTTTCTAAAAATGAGAAGGGGAATGCAAAGCCTTTCTTCAGGGAGCAGAATTGCTTACCTTACTCACCCTAACAAAATGAAACCTAAGAAAGGATATGACAAAGTAAACACAGGGAAAAAATTAAGCTATACAAAAGCTGCCAACAAACATCAAATTCATTTTAATGGACTGTTAATAAGATTGGAACAAAAATTAGAAGACGCTTCCAGCAGGAATAGCAGAGTTAAAGAAATCTAACAGATATAGCTTAATACATTTCTAAGGTGATTTGATTAGATGGTTTCCTGTACAGCAAGGGACTTCACTCAATGGCACACATCTCCTCTAGTTCCATATTTCTAGCTGTGTGACCTAGCAGGCATATACATATACATGAGAAATGAATCGCTCTTCTTAAAGAGTTCATAGTCTTCTTCATCAGAAGATGACTTCTACTGATACCCTGCCTGAAACTGCTTGCGGAGAACAGCTGTACCTACAAGTATTGCGTGCATTTCTATCATACAGCTGTGCTATTGGATTTAATTTATTTTTTCATTGAACCTATCACTATGTTAAGCAAAGGAATGAGCTCCTTCCGCCCTTTGGGCATTTAATTTCATTTCTCCTCAACACGCTCACCTGTGCTAAAGGCTTTACAACTTTAGCTTTTAATTTTTCTGGTCTATCAAATTCCATGCTTCTTGTTTTCACAGTGTCTTCCAGAGCTGCTCGCTTCCTGCAGCCACCATTCCCCATGTCCTACTGTCATGTTCAAGATGTTAGTAAGGCCATGGTTAAAAACAAACAACAACAACAAAAAAATCAACAAAAAACACCACCAAAAGCCAACAACTACTACAAAGCAAGCATGTTTACTTATATAACAGATGCAGAAAGGCCCCTGGAAGAGTACACTGGCTCAGCTTCTCCAGTACATTCCCTTTTGAGTGAAGCTGAGATTACTAAAAAAAATAGTCTCAGTTGGATTGCAAAGCCATTTCAGAACAATTAGACATTTTAAGGCACTCAGAGTATTTGCTTTGGAAAATACTTATATCCCTATAACAGCAACCTAGAAAATGTTTACGCAGGGACTAGCTACCTTTCCAGATCTGATAAAACCTGGTTTCAGCAGTGGCTCCTATAAAGATTGCAGCTCAGAATAAACAAGTCAACTGGTACAGACCAACTTGGGAAAACAGTAAGAAAGAGTAATGTAAAATCAAAGACTGACAAACAGTGAATAGACAGAAGCCCAGGAATGGGTTAAAAAAAATAATCAATCATAGCTATAGTTACTTAATACAGGAGTCTAGAAGAGACATTATCTCTTCTCTTGCACTACAGAAAGTTACAACCCTGGAAATATGAGATAAGGAACTACTGAATTTTAGACTGGAGAAAGGCTAAACCTCAGCACAGATGCCTACTTTGAAGTTTGACTTTTTTTTTTAATTAAAAGGGGTTGAAAACTAATTATACAGAAAGAGACCAATCCTTTTGTTCCTCTTGCTTCCCAGTCACCCCAAGGCACAATGGTGGCAGTGGAGGGGTGTCAGAAAAGGACTGACCAAATGCTTTGACACTGCAATATTACGCTACTGGTAGCTGTAGGGACATTACAGTAAAGGAGGGCTGTATTTTTGTGTTCACACTACCATTTTTGAGCATGCTCAGGGAACTGATATTTACTTTACACCCTGAGGGATGCCCTGGAGAGACAATATGTTTGCAGGCAACAGAGCAGTACCTTCCTCCACATACTGCAAACCTTCGTAACAACAGTCCTCTTAACTGATCTGTCAAACATCAGACTAATATTAGACTAACAAATTCATTAGCTATTGAGTAGTGGAAAACAGAAGCAGTAAGAATCCCAGTTACCAAGACAAAATGCTCTTCCGTGCTGAAAAGAGATGTGATAAACTTCTGTTTGGCAGCCCCACAGACCTCTACAAAGGCTCACAAGTGTCCTTCAGCAATTTGAGGTTCTGCTGCCACCTCTAGACAAGCCATTTCTGCATCACTGCCCTGTCCCAGCTGGTTTCAAAGCATGCCGATTCAGCTCCAAGTACAATTTGTTCCATGTCATCCACCTGCTTTTCCTCTTCAGGTATACTGCTTCTGCATCAGAAGTCTGAAGAAACCAGAGTCAAAAGCTTCCATCTGTCATTGACATTACCTGACAAGCACATTCAGCTCACTGTTTGGATCCTTACTGTTACTCAAGAGCAGCTGAAAAAGTATACTAAAAAAGACTAACGATGCCACAAGAATAAAGTAGGGGATTTTATGTGCTTGTCTTCAAAACACAGAATTCCTATATTTTGAGAGCCAGTAGTTTGAGTAACACACAACAGTATGAGCACAACAGCTTACACAAAATGTATCTTGAGCCAACAGCATGAAAGATGCATACGTCCTCTCAATTTAGTAGATGCTGCTGCTCACAGCATGACCAAACTAAAGTTTTTCTGATAAGTCAGGCCCCTGCACACTAACGATGGCACACAAGCACTCCAAATATCCTTCTGTATCTCTCAGTCTGCAGGGAAGAGTTCGGGATGCAGTTTAGTTGAACACCTGTACTACTACTACCACAATAACAAAACATGCCATCATACTTACAGGATGCGACACAATACACTGCTTAACATGTTTAAGGCCAGTGAACAATTTGCTGGGTAAGAGACAAGAGGTCGAGCTGCTCAAGATAACATTGTCACCAACAATAAGATCTAACTGACTGAAAATCTTCTTTTTCAGTTCCAGGTTCTCCGGAGCACATTCCTGGAATAAAAACAAAAATCAGTATTAGAAGTCTTCTAGTTCAATAGTATTTATCCACACATTTCAGACTTCACTGATCCTACCTTGACACCTAGGAACTCAGCACAAACCATCTATTTTAATCAGCCTGGATATACCAGTGAGCCATAACACAAAAATATCTTCCCACATACAAAGAAACGGAAAGCCCAAAGGTTTCTCTATAGTAGAAGATGGACCACCACACAAGATTTAACACAAAACAAATTATTTTGCTTTGTCTAAAATACAGACTTTTACTCATGCACAGAGATAACACAGTATGGAGGAATAAGACCTGGTCTTCATTTTTTTTTTTTTAAGAGAATCTTACATGATAGAACTCGGTATTCTCTCTCAGACAAGATAGAAATGAATAGGTGTATCTCAAAAGAAGACAAACTTACAATCTCCAGAACTATGGCAGGAGATTCTAACGTACAGTTCTGGAACCTGCACTGAAACACCTCTCAGTGAGCCTCACATTTAAAAAGCTTAAATATCTTCATTCATTTAAACTCTGAGAAAGATTTTAAGTAGAATGCATACTATCAGAACTTCTCCCAGAGCTACTGAGCATGTTCAGCTCTGCAGTACTGTGTGAAATTTCACATGTATGAGCCAAGAGCCACAATCTACAGTCACTAGAATTTCAAAGTTATTCCCAGGAGCTGCCTGAAGGACAGCATGCAGGAGTCCACCAGTAGTCCGGGAGCAACAAGGAAATGGGAGAATAACTACAACAGATCCCACAATCAACAGGAAAGACTTCAGTCTATGAGAACAAAACAGGGGAATAAAGCCAGCTTGTTTTCTGGGTTTTTTGGAAGGGTTTAAAAAAAATCCAAACAGGATCCCAAACTTGCAAAACCTCAGCTTTCCCCTTTGAACACACAGAAAATACTTGCTCTTTTCCAACTCTAACCTTCTCCCACTTGTCAGTACTTCACTCTGTCCTTCCTGTTATGCCAAACTGCACGAGGGTAGGGGAAAAGGCTATACATTTAATATAATCCAAAATTTACATTTAACACCTGCAGCTTCAGACAGACTCTGTGGCAAGCATGCCCAGGGCCAGTTTTTCACCCAGTAAATGGGTTAAAAGTAATTTGAAGTCTTAAAAAACAAGCAAGTTGCATGGAACAGTACTAAAAGTTCCATGATGCAGAAGAGAGAAACAGGGTCATTTAAGAACTCCAAAGAGAGCCCAAAGTAATAGACAGCCTTATCAAAACAAAATGATACTCTGCTTATAATTCCAGGATCCCTGCTTGTTGGTTAAGTTTAAATAGTTTCTTTTAGTAAAGCCAAAGATGAAGAGAACTCTGCAGATACTGTTCAAGCTAATAAAAGAGTTGCTCTGAATAGGTTTATTGTGAACTTGAAACTCTAAGCCTCCTCTCACATCAGACGATAATCAAAAAGGCAAACTCAAATCTGCTGGAAACTCAAACCTGCCACAGTTATGTAAGGTTTCTGAATGGGCCATTTGCTTGAAGTTTCTTGTATAGTGTCACAATTGTATTCAGATTGTTGGACCACTGCAGTAAAGTTTCTGTCCTCATCAAGCATGCAATTATTTTCTCAGAGACACCAATTCCCTAAAGAACAGGGGGAAAATTAAGCTCTAAACAATCCATTAAACAGGAACCTCACTTGCTGTCAGTTATGGAGCCTGGAGAGGTCTGAAGCTATTCTGTTTACCCTGAGAAAGAGAAGATCAAACAGTAAGCAGATAAGATATGGTTTTAAAGCTACCACAGTCTCTCTCAAAGAATCAGTGCAAAAAGGTTAGCATACACCTCTACGCATTTTAAGTGACACTGTATATTTCTGTGCCCTTTTTTGTAGAGAAGATCACACTTCTCATTTGCAGTGAACAGCACACCTTTATTCCAAGACCTGAGCACCTGAACAAGGTTGCTACTAATCTGACTTCCAATTTAAACTTCATTAGACATCTTTTCAACAGCCTGATCAGAACATGACAGTTGTTAATTTTTAAAACCCACCTCCTGGAAGAGTTGTATTGAATTAAAGGCTTAAAGGTAATAGGCATTACACTGTTCAAATACGTGTTCAGAGAACACAGAGCAGCTACTTGACCAGCCTATGAACTCTTAAAGAACTACACAAAGATAAACACGTACTAGACTCTCTCCCTAGCAGATAACACTGATACCCAGACAAGGTGATTGAGGTCTAGTTGCCCCTAACTAAAAAGTTGCACTCATATGACACAACCCTTTGAATGCCAGCACATGGGAAGCTAGGGAGTTTTATCCGTTTAAATCCAGTGTGTTTGTGTTTTTGTACAGGCATTTCCCACCATGCTATCCACCATCTGTGCTCCCATACATGTCCACACTCATCTAAGTGCACTACTTCATTTACCTATATTTAAATGCTGGCATCTACCCAGGTTCTTCCTATCCATTCTCAGATATGTCAAGGTAGCAACTCACCTGTACCAGCTTCTAGGAAAACACTTCCCAAAACACGACCTTGCCAAGTATTTTCTCCTTACACTAGCAATGGGAATCACTGCCAAGACCGTGGATTTATTAGCACCAGGGGGTGAAAGAAACAAAGCATGGCCTGAGGTAAAGCACTGCAACACAGTTGTGATGTCCTAAAATAAGTGGTATTGTCCTCTACAAGCATGGCCATATGAGATGAAAGCCAAAGATTTAAATTGGCATGGAGAAGGTCAAAGATTGGCATCCATTCAGCAACAAGCAAGCCACTTTCTGTAAGAGTATCTGGAGATGCTGTCACAGGGAGCAGCATCGAGCCCTCTCAATAGCAAGTATGAAGTCTGATGCTTTATTCAGCATAAAGAATCACTGAATAAAGAAGTCTGAAAGCCACAGCTGCACAATGATGAGTCCCACGTCCTGACTAGATTCTGGCTGCTGCATATTCAAAGCATAATCAAGAAAACATTTTTACCCTTGCAATCTTAATATGAAGATTTATAATGTAAATTCCTGCAAATGAAGATAGATCAATCTTGAGCTCTCCTAGACCAGCTTTCCTAGACCCCTCTTCATTCCAGGATTTTATTACATGCCATGGGATTCTTCCAAGCAGATTTTGGCCTGAACAGGCTGAAGTTACCTCCCCTGAAGTCCAGAGCTGTGATCCCACTGTTTGTCTTGCTTCTCCTCTCAGGATCCTCAACTCCACCATCTCATGGTCACTGTAGCCAAGGCTTGCCCCTAACCTTCACATCTCTAATCAGTTCTTCCTTGTTTGTAAGTATGAGGCCCAGCCCAGCACATGCTCTCTTCTGCTCCTCAACCACCCGTGTCAGGAAGTTATCATGAACGCTTTCCAGAATCCTCCTGAATTGTTTGTGCTCTCTGTGCTGTCCCTCCAGTAGATATTGATGTGATTGAAGCCCCGCCATAAAGACAAGGGCCTGCGAATGTGAGGCTTCTTCCAGTTGTCCAAAGAAGGCCTTTTCTTTCTGATCAGGTGGTCTGTAGCAGACAGCTACCACAATGTCTTCCACCTTGGTGGTCCTCTTAATCCCGACCCATAAGCTCTCAACTGGCTCCTCATTCAAAGTAAGGCAGAGCTCTGTGCATGCTAGCTCACAGCATGTAATAAATAACCTAGGCAGCTATTCCTCTCCTACCTTTGTCTTGTACCACCTAACCCCCAAGAGCTGTACTTCACTGCCATGATGCAGCTGCTACAGCAAGAGTGCCCTGTAGCCTTGCCCTAACCACAACTGAGGTAGAAAATTATTTTCAAGAGTTCCATGACTTCCCTCTTCCCAGTAAATTCAATAGGGCTTCAAGTAGCAGGTAAACTGTTTAGGAGTCATAACTGCTTTCACTGCTACAAGTATGCTCTTCATTTTCTGCAGTTAAGTGAAGATCTCCAAAGATGCCGCACACCCTGGCTCTGTTCCTCTATTTATACACATATAAGTTACAGCATTTCAAGTGGTCTCAGCTTTTCAGTGCTGCGATTTAGCTGACAATTTTCAGGCACTTCTGTAGAACAGTTCCCAGAGTCAAGTGACAGCAATCCTCTCCTCTCATAGAACCAAGGCATAGCAGCAGCTTTCAGAGCACCTAACTATCTCACAAGCTGGACCCAGGCTGCCAGCACTCCTGCAACAGGAACCACAATACACAGCCAGACCCAATACACATAACAAATTATTACATCAGAATACCAGTTTTGCTTCCAGTATTATTTTTAACCATTACAATTTAGCTCAACTATCTAAAATTTTTCAAGCATTAAATATGTTTGGTAATTTCACAAAATTCAGCATTATTACATATTTCAAATGCAAATACTTGACTGCAAGTATTTTGGACTTTCCCATCATGGTCCCCCCCAAAATGGCAAAGTAGTTTTAGATGCTTATTCTGACACACTTTAAAGATGGATAGTATGTGGATATACCAGTATACCAGGATATTAAGACAAGGTGCCAAATAAAAATGCATTATTTCAAACTGCACAGGTGATGGTGGGAAAACATATTTACTTCAGTCTCTTTTTAGAAAGTGTTACTACCCTCATCTGAGGGTAAAAGCAGGGCCAGCAGCTTGTCAGGAGACACACACTTGCTTACCACTGTACAGGTTTGAGATGGAGCACAGAAACGAGATGTGTACACACAGCTGTTACTGAAGGAGACCCCAGGCACACCTTTCAGTGTGGTGTCAGCATTTTGATCAGTTAAAATGAGGAAGATTAAAAAAAAAAAAAACACAAAAAAACCCCAAACCCCCCCCCCCCCCCCAACAACAACCAACAGCATAGACTCTGATAACAAACAAGATTATGTTAAAGCACGACTAGAACTCGAGCCCCCAAGAGCTAGGGTCAGGGGAAAGCAGGGGGAGCAACCTGGCTGTGTACCACAGCAGGGAGGTGAGGGTAAATGGGACTTGACCCTGTAACACTTGGAGGTGATGCAGGAACCCAAACCATATGGGATGCACACAAGGGAA